TGAATGCCTCTGATTTCTGTGTATTGATTTGTATCCTGAGACTTTACCAAATTCATTTATCAGTTCAAGGAGTCTCTTGGTTGAATCCTTGGGGTTTTCTAGGTATAATATCATGTCATCAGCGAAGAGTGAGAGTTTGATCTCTTCTGTTCCCATTTGGATGCCCTTAATTCTGCTCTCTTTTCTAATTGCTGCAGCAAGGACTTTCAGCACTATGTTGAATAGAAGTGGAGATAGTAGGCAACCTTGTCTTTTTCCAGTTCTAAGTGGGAATGTTTCCAATTTCCCCAATCAGTATGATATTGGCTGTGGGTTTGTCCTATATGGCTTGCATCATTTTTAGGTAAGCCCCGTCTATGCCTATTTTGTTGAGCGTTCTTATCATAAATGGGTGGTGAATTTTGTCGAATGCTTTTTCTGAGACTATTGAGAGGATCATATGGTCTTTGTTTTTGCTTCTGTTTATATGGAGAATTACATTTATAGATTTGCATGTGTTGAACCATCCCTGCATCCCTGGGATGAAGCCCACTTGGTTGTGATGGATCATTTTCTTGACAAGCACCTGGATTCGATTGGCTAGGATTTTGTTAAGAATTTTTGCATCTATATTCATAAGAATATTTTGTTTTGTTTTGTTTTGTTTTGAGACAGAGTCTCGCTTTCTTGCCTAGGCTAGAGTGAGTGCCGTGGCGTCAGCCTCGCTCACAGCAACCTCCAACTCCTGGGCTCAAGCGATCCTGCTGCCTCAGCCTCCCGAGTAGCTGGGACTACAGGCATGCGCCACCATGCCCGGCTGATTTTTATATTATATGTATTAGTTGGCCAATTAATTTCTTTCTATTTTTATGGTAGAGACGGGGTCTCGCTCAGGCTGGTTTTGAACTCCTGACCTTGAGCAATCCGCCCGCCTCGGCCTCCCAGAGTGCTAGGATTACAGGCGTGAGCCACCGCGCCCGGCCATTCATAAGAATATTGGTCTGTAGTTTTCTTTTTTTTTGTTGCATCCTTTCCTGGTTTTGGTATCAGGTTTATCTTCACTTCATAAAATGTGTTGGGGAGGTTTCCATCCTTCTTGATTCTGTGGAATAATTTCTGCATGATAGGCACCATTTCTACTTTGTAGTTGTGGTAAAATTCGGGTTGAAACCATCTGGTCCAGGACTTTTCCTTTTAGGAAGGTTTTTATTGCTGTTTCAATTCCAGTACTTGATATTGGTCTGTTCAGGAAGAATTCCATTTCTTCCTGGTTGAGCCTAGGGAGGCTGTGTGTTTCTATGAAATTGTCCATTTCCTCCACATTTTCCGGTTTGTGTGCATAAAGGTTTTTGTAGTATTCATAAATTATATCTTGTATCTCTGTGGCATCCATTGTAATTTCTCCTTTATTGTTCCTGATGGAGTTTATTATAGATTTTTCTTTTCTGCTTTTCATTAGTCTAGACAAAAGTGTGTCAATTTTGGTTACTTTTTCAAAGAAGCACCTTTTTGTTTTATTAATCTTCTGTATGGTTTCACTGTTGTCAATTTCATTTAATTCTGATGTGATCTTAATAATTTCACCTCTTCTGCTGGGTTTGGGATCAGTCTGTTCTTCTTTTTCCAGCTCTTTGAGACTATTCATCAGGTAGTCTACTTGTGATCTTTTCGACTTTGGGATATAGGCATTTATGGAAATGATCTTTCCTCTCAGGACTGCTTTAGCTGTGTCCTGCAGGTTTTTATAACTTGTGTCTCCTTTGTCATTTAGTTCAAATAATCTTTTGATTTCCCTCTTGATTTCCTCATTTTTGAAGTGATCATTCAGCAGAAGGTTGTTTAGTTTTCATGACTTTGTGTAGAAATGAGAAGTCCTGTTAGGGTTGATTTCTACTTTTATTCCATTGTGATCTGAAGAGATACATGGTATGATTTCTATTTGGTTAAATTGTTTGAGACATGCTTTGTGTCCTAGGATATGGTCAATCTTAGAGATTGACCCATGAGCTGATGAGAAGAATGTACATTCAGTGGTTTGGGGGTAGAATGTCCTATAAATGTCAGTTAGGCCCATTTGTTCTAGAGTTCTGTTTAAGTCCATTATTTCTTTGTTGATTTTCTGTTTGGAGGATCTGTCCTGTGCTGTCAGTGGGGTGTTAAAGTCTCCAACTATTATGGTGTTGTTTATCCGTTTGTTTAGATCAAGTAGAGTTTTCTTTATGAATCTGGGTGAACTTAAGTTGGGTACATATATATTTATAATTGTTATATCTTCTTGTTGAACTGTACCCTTCACCATTATATAGTGGGCTTCTTTGTCTTTTATTACTTTTGTTGATTTAAAAGCTAAGTTATCTGTAGTCGACACCACCACGGCAGCTTTCTTTTGGCTTCTGCTTGCTTGAAATACTGTTCTCCACTCCTTTACCTTTAGTCTAACTCCATCCTTGCAGGTTGGATGTGTTTCCTGAAGGCAGCAGATACTTTGCTTGTGTTTTTTTATGCATTCGGCCATCCTTTGTCTCTTGAGTGGGAAGATCAAGCCATTCACATTTATTGAGATAACTGATAGGTGGGGCGATTTCTTTTCATTATGTTAGTTTGAACTTTGTTGCTTTCGTTTCTCTCTTGAGCCATTGTGGTATCTTGGCTTTGATCTTTAGCTTTTGAGTAGATTTACATTTGTGAGTGTTTAATGTGCTGATCTGTGGGTAACACTATTTTGAGTACTTCTTGAAGAGCTATTCTTGTCTTGGTGAATTCCCTCAGTCTTTACTTATCTGAGAATGTCTTGATTTTTCCTTCATATACAAAACGTAGCTTTGCAGGGAATCAGACTCTAGGCTAGGCATTATACTGTTTCAGAAGAGTGAGAATGGGGCCCCAGTCTCTCCTTGCTTGTAAAGTTTCAGTAGAGAAGTCTGGCGTTATTTGGATTGGCTTTCCTTATATGTTACTTGATTTTTTCATCTTACAGTCATAGTAGGCCCTGTTTGGTTTATATTTTGGTCAGTGTTATGACTGCATGTCGTGACGTCTTCCTGTTTGCATTGAATCTCCCAGGGGTTCTCTGAGCTTCTTAAACTTGTATATCGAGATTTTTAGCAAGGCCTGGGAAATTTTCCTCTATTATATCTTCAAATAGCTTATCCAACCCTGGAGTGTTTTCTTCTTCCCCTTTTAGTAACCGTATAACCCTCACATTAGGTTTCTTCACATAATCCCACATCTCTTGTAACCTTTTCTCTTTTCTTTTGTTTCTCTTCTCTATCTCTGTGACTGATTTATTTAATTGGAAGGTGTTATCTTCAATCTCTGAGATTCTTTCTTCTGTTTAATCTACCCTGTTCTTGAGGCTTTCCGCTGTGTTTTGTAGTTCCCTGAATTGATTCTTCATTTCCAGGAGTTTGGTTAGATTTTTCTTCTTTGTTTCAATTTGTTTAGTGACTTTTTGTTCCAGGTCCTGGAATCATTTTGCATTTTCTTTGTGTTGGTTATCCAGTTGTTCCTGTAAGTCGTTGAATTTTCTACAATCCACGTTCAAAATTCTTCTGTTATTTTAGCAGTCTGATTTTGGTTGGTGTCCATTTCTAAGGGGCTGGTATTACTCTTTGGGGGTGTGCTTTCCTTTTGGTTCTTCATATTTCCAGAGTTCCTTCGCTGATTTATTCCCATCTGGATCTGTTGTTGCATCTTGCCTTTAGGTTTTTGATAGGATAATCTGGCAACCTCTTTTAACATCTAGAATGACTAGATTAGGACTTGTTTGTCCTTTATATACACTATATGCACAGGTAAATAAGACCAAATACACAGACATAGGAACAATGGTTAATCTTGCCTCACTATAAGCACATTGAACATTTATTACTTCTTTATGTTGGGAACATTCAAAAACCAGTCTTCTAGCTTTTTGAAAATGCTCATTAAATTTTTGTTAACCATACACCCTACAATGCTACAGAAGAGTAGAACTTATTTCCTCGCATCCAGCTATAACATTGTATCCATTAACCAACCTCTCCCTATCCTCTTCTCGCCTCTACCTTTCCTAGCCTCTAATAACCATATTTCTACTCTCTACTTATTTCTATCAACTCAGATTTTGTAAGCTCCTAAATACGAGTGAAACATGGTGTTAATATTTATCTTTCTATGCCTGACTTATTTCACTTAACATAATGTCCTCCAGGCTCATCTATATTGTTGTGAATAACAATATTTCATATTTATGTATATATACCAAAATTTATTCATTCATCGGTTCATGCACGTTAGATTGATTCCGTACCTTGGCTATTGTGAATAGAGCTGTAATAAACATGAAGGTGCAGGTATCTCTTCAATATACTGATTTCTTTTGCGTTGGATACATATATACGCAGTAGTGGGGTTACTGGATCATATGATATTTCTATTTTTAGTTTTTTGTGAAGCTTCCATACCATTTTCCATAATGGCTGTACGAATTTACAATCCCCTTGACAGTGTATAAGAATTCCCCTTTTGTCTCCATCCTCACAGCATTTGTTCTTTTTTTTTTTTTCTTATTTATTTGCTGCTTTATTTCTGTAAGGATACACGGAAACGTTAGATAATAGCTAATGACAAAATGTAGAAATGAGGCATCAGCTTCTATAACCACACCTACAAGAATGTTAATATGTACTGTCATTACATGTTTACTTTTGATATTGTCTCATTATACTATGTAATATAATAATGTAGAATACAGTAAGTAGGTGATCCTGCATTTCAGGTAAGCAGTAGGTGGAATCCAGTTCTGCCTGTGAGGATGGTGGCCTCCCCACTCCCCCAGAGATTCAGCTAAGCTCTTGAGGAAAGTCCTAGGAATCACAAGAGAAGGGACTTACAGTCCTCATTAACACGTGAACAAAGAGCAGGCAACTACTATGTTACAAGGGACTCAACTAGTCACTGTTTTGAAATGTCAGATCCATGCTGATGACAGCCCTGGCGCCTGCTCAGCTATACCTCTAGAGTTTTATGGTTACTTCTATAGGATGAATTTCAACACTGCAGGAACATCTGAGGGGGGCTAGAAGATTTTCATGCAAGTTTCCGAACCCATAAAATATTTTGCTATTAATGAAAACAAAAATTATTAATTAAAAACAATAAAAAGGACAGCAGGATTAGTTTTGTTAAGCTTCCGAAAGTATCCGCTGTGATGATGTTCCTCTGAAACAGGCTTGTTTTCTCAGACCTGCCTACACTTTCCACATCACCTGCATGTTCCATGCTTTAAAGTTGGAACGGTCAGAAAACATGCCACACATGGAAATCAAAAGTTAGTACATAGGAAAGGTCAGTTTAGAATGACAGCTAAGTTCAAATGTTAATTTTCTGGAAATTCCTGTTAGTCATTTGAAAGCACAGAAGAACAGAAGGAAGGTAAGAGTTTTGATGAGGACGTTAAACCATGCATGTCAGTAAGTTCTTTTCTGCTCACAGAAGAGGGTGAACAGTGAGTTGGAGCAGCCGCTGCAACTCTTGCGTGTCGTGTGACTACACAGTGGGTCCCAGCTGAGCCATGAAAGGCATCTCAGTGGGGGCTTTATCTCTTATGCTTCTTGGTTACATCACTAAGTGGCTAAATGGTTAGCACTTTTCTGCTCTATAAGAAACATGCAGAAGAGTCCATCTATCTAAGTTTTCGTTTTTTAACTGCAGCTGGAGAGAAATTAACTTTGCTGCAGGGTTGCTTTTTGCTAAATCCTAGTATGATCAACTGTGTGCCCTTATTTAAGTAATACTGTAAAATGGGAGAAAAGACAGAAGGAGCAACTTTAAAGAGGTGAAAGACCACTTTTGCCCTATAGATGGTATAGGGCAGAGAATAGGACACAGAGAACAAGACTGAAATGCCATTTTACAGGACAGGAGCCCCTGTCGGTTTACAGCTTTTTGGCACAGTCGGGGCAATACACTTGCTCCTCATGGAAAACAAAGCGCTTGTTGGCTAGATTCACGGAGCATTTTTTGCAGTGGAAGCAGTAGTCGTGCCAGGATTGTCCTTCATAGGCCACCACACTGAAGCCTTTACCAAACCCAGTGATGGGGTTCTTGCATCCAGCACACTTCTTGGCCACAAAGTTCTTGTAGCAATCCACGCAGTAATACTGGTCCTCCACAGCGGTGAAACGCTGCCCAGCCAGCTTCTTAGAGCAGGTAACACACACAAAGCAATCGGCATGCCAGGGCTGATCCTGGTAAGTGATTCCTCCAGATGTGATGGCCTTGTTGCACTTCACACAATGCTTGGCAAACTTGGTCTCATGGCAAGTCACGCAGTAGAAGTTCTCCCCTTTCGGGAAGAAGCTTCCAGTTCCAATGACTTGCTTGCAGTTGCTGCAGGTGAAGCAGTCTTTGTGCCAGACGGACCCCTTGTACTCCACATTTTGATCTCCTGCCACAATGGCCTTGAAGCACCCCTTGCACTTGGGGGAATCCTCCCGAGTGGTGCAGTTGTTGCACAGGATCTTGCTGTCCTTGGCCACAAAAGTCTCATTGGCCAAGGGGTGAAGGCACTTGGAGCAGCGGAAGCAGGTGTCGTGCCAGAAGCGGTTCTTATAGTGCACTTCCTTGGCGTCCGCACCAATGGGCTTGCAGCATTCCAGGCAGGTGTTGGCGCAGAACTTGTCAAAGCACTTCGGCAGCAGTGGTGGCCATCCTTCTCCACGTACTTCTTCCCTTGCAAGGCTTCCTGGCAATAGTGGCAATTGAACTTCTCAGCCATAGTGCCCACCTTGTAGCTGGTGGCATCTCACACTGGATGTGTGGAAAATAGGATGTATTCAGCAAGGGCTGGATACAGCTCACAACAACTTCCAACGTGCTGCCTGGGGATGCTCGCCCGCGCAGCTGTCTCGGTGGCGGCGGCCGCTGCCTGCATCAAGGCCCAAGCGCGGCGACTGCGGCTGCGGACTGAGCCCCCTGCGCCTGGCAGTGGATGCAGGGCGCGGGAGGGGCGCGAGGGGAGGGGCGCGCGTGGGGGAGGCGGGGGAGGGGGAAGCATTTGTTCTTTTTTGTCTTTTTGATGATAGTCATTCTAACTGGGGTGAATGATATCTCATTATGGTTTTGATTAGGATTTCCGTGATTAGTGATATTGAGGATTTTAAAAAATATACTTGTTGGCTGTTTGTTTATCTTCTTTTAAAAAATGTCCATTCAGACCCTTTGTCCATTTTTAAATCAGATTCTTTGGTTTTTAACTGGTGAGTTGTTTGTGTTCCTTGCATATTCTAGATAGCAGTTCCTTGTCAGATGAATAATTGGCAAGTATTTTCTCCCATTCTACAGGTTGTCTCTTAACTCTGTTGATTATTTCCTTTGCTGTGCAGAAGCTTTATTTATTTATTTATTTTTGAGACAGAGTTTCACTTTGTTGCCCAGGCTAGAGTGAGTGCCATGGCGTCAGCCTAGCTCACAGCAACCTCAATCTCCTGGGCTCAAGCAATCCTTCTGCCTCAGCCTCCCGAGTAGCTGGGACTACAGGCATGTGCCACCATGCCCAGCTAATTTTTTCTATATATATTAGTTGGCCAATTAATTGTTTTCTATTTATAGTAAAGACAGGGTCTTGCTCTTGCTCAGACTGGTTTAGAACTCCTGACCTCGAGCAGTCTGCCTGCCTCGGCCTCACAGAGTGCTAGGATTACAGGCCTGAGCCACCATGCCTGGCCAAGCTTTATTGTTTGATATAGTCCCATTTGTCTATTTTTATTTTTGTTGCTTGTGTTTTTGAAGTATTACTCATAAAATCTTTGCCTAGACCTGTTCCCTGAAGTTTTTTCCCTGTTTTTGTCTAGAAATTTTATAGGTTCGGGTCCTAAGTTTTTAATCCATTTTGAGTTGATTTTCATATACAGTGAGAGATAGGGGTCCAATTTCATTCTTTTGCATATTAATATCTAGTTTTCCCAGCACCATTTATTGAAGAGGGTGTCCCTTTCCCCAATGTATGTTCTTGACATTTTATTCTAGAACTTTCTTTTCATTATAATAGTATCATAGGGAAATTGTATCACAATTTCCTCCTATCAGTATTCCAAAACACATAATACATTTCGGTTAGTAATGCATTATTTAGCTATATTGGGCAACGAAATCCAATAAAGTCTAAAAGCTTCCCTCAGTAGGCAGTTAGTACCAAGGCCAAGTCATCTTCCCTGGATGACTGTAAAGGATGAACTCACCTGTTTCTTAGTTGTTGCCATGGAAACACAAGTCGATACTTTGAATGAATGAATTCATAGCAGAAGCATTTATTTTGTGGAGGAAAAGGGATTAAGAAACTGAAGAAGCATTTTGAAGGCTGATGCATGGAGGGCATAGAAGGAACATTACCCCTGTTGGCAGATGTTGGACAAAAATATTGCCAACATTGCAATTTAAGTAGGGAATACAGAGGTATGAGAAGAATTTTCAAAAATCACTCTTAAAGAGAATAGAACTTTGATACATTCCATTTTATCTTTAAATAATAGATTTATTATACAAAATTTGGATAGATACATTTTTAAACTAAAATTACTTTCTAAAATATTCCCCCATGACACTTGATGCTCTTAGAGGTTCATAATTCATATTATATTTTTTTCTTTGTTTCCTTTGTTTCTCTTCTCTTCTCTTTTCTTCTTTTCTCTTCTTTTCTTTTCTACCCTTTTCTTTTCTTTTCTATCCTTTCCTTTCCTTTCCGTCAGACAGAGCCTAGCTCTGTCACCCAGGCTACAATGCCTATATCACAACAACCTCAGACTCCTGGGCTCAAGTGATCCTCCTGCTTCAGCCTGGTGAGTAGCTGTGACTACAGGCACCCACCATCACACCCTAAAGACGGGGTCTCACTCTTGCTCAGGCCGGTCTCAAATTGCTGACCTCAAGCAATCTTCCTGCCTCAGGTTCTCAGAGTGCTAGAATTACAGGCATGAGCCACTGTATCCAGCCTAAAATCTTTCTTGATTTTTGAAGTCAAACAATGTTTTAACTTTTTAAAATCAGGTATCTCCTAATTAGCAGCTGAGAAAACTTTTTAAAATCAGGTATCTCCTAATTAGCAGCTGAGAACACACTTTCTTTAAGAAAGTGTTTCATAAAGTTTAAATCAATTCGTATCTATTTTTACCCTTTTTCCAAAATGTAATATTTCTGTATTTTTGCTTTCTAATAGTCTTATTTTACATTTTCATAGTTTATTTATTTATTTCTTGCTTCAGTGTACATAGTAGTATTGGCCATTTCACTGTTGGACATATTATCTGACCCACTCTGGGAATCCGGTTACTCAAGGCAATAGAACCTGGAGAAAGAACCTCCATATCATTCCTAAACAAACTCAAGTTAAAAGTGGTTAAATGGTGCATTAGGGAGTCTACTATGTTGAAAAACCAGACCCAAAGTGCAACCCGACAAGACCACCTTACTATTCCTCTATCATTTCTTTGATAAAAGTTTCCATTCTTCCTAATCTGATTAGTTCCTACATGCCTACTATATTTGTAAGTCAGCTAGTAAAACCATTTTAATCACTTCCCTAGTGGTCTACCAAAAAAGCAATCATTTCAATTATTTTGATATAATTAAACTATTTATTGGGTCATCACATAAATATTATGATTTATGGATTTCCTTTCCTTTAGATCCATACCTGGTAGTGTGGTTGCTGGATCATATGATAGCTCTATTTTTAGGTTTTTAAGAAACTTCCATAGTGTTTTCCATATTGGCTGTACTAATTTACAATCCCACCAACAGTGTATAAGAATTCCCTTTTGCTCTGCATCAAATTCCTCCTTAAAGATAAAGGAAAAAATGAGAAAATTTTCACTGTGCTTCCATTCCTTTTTTTGCTAACAATTATTTTGTTTATTCTTTTGAAAAATTAGAATCTAAAAATAAACCTAAGCTCAAGAAAAAATATTGTGCATGTTGAATTGTGTTTTGCCTAATTAGCAAAGATATGATAGAGGCTCTATTCCAAGTAGGAGATTTTTGAAAAGTATAATTCAAAACAACATTGGTGGGGGAGGATCAAGATGGCAGATGAGAAACACCACCAGATGGAGTGTCTCTGCAGAAAAGACAGATTCTAGAAGATATTAGAAAAAAAAAAAGCAAGAAGACGAGCATACAGCAGATGAGGGCCGGAAGGAGGGGTACCTGAGACCCCGGGAGACTCCACGGGAGGAGGCTGCGGAGGAGAACTGGAAGCTGAGACCGCCGGAGCAGCCCGGAGACCAGCGGCAAGAGTAGGTGGATAATTCACCTTTCCCCTCCCCTGCATCTGGGACTGCTGGTGGGCTCCCCAGATGGTGGAGAGACCAGATAATACAACGGCTCAAGAGAGAAATCAAAGCAACAACATCCAACCCAACAGAATGAACAATAATCTACATTACCTATCAGTTCTATCAATAAATGAGAATGGCTTAATCTCTCCACTCAAGAGACATAGGCTGGCTGAACGGATAAGAAAATACAGGCCAAGTATATGCTGTCTTCAGGAAACACATCTAACCTGCAAGGATGCATATAGACTAAAAGTAAAAGGGTGGAGATCAGTATTCCAGGCAAGTGGAAACCAAAAGAAGGCTGGCGTGGCTATTCTAATTTCAGATGATTTAGTTTTTAAACCAACAAAAGTAGTGAAAGACAAAGAGGGTCATTAGATAATGGTGAAGGGCATAGTTCAACAAGAAGAGATAACAATTTTAAATATATATGCACCCAACTTAGATGCACCCAGTTTCATAGGGCAAACCTTACTGGATCTAAGCAAATGGATTAATAGCAACTCCATCATCACCGGAGATTTCAACACCCCACTTACGGCACAAGACAGATCCTCCAAACAGAAAAGAAATAAAGAAATAATGGACTTAAACAAAACCCTGGAACAATGGCGTCTGACTGACATCTACAGGACATTCTACCCCAAATCCACTGAATATACATTCTTCTCATCAGCTCACGGGATATTCTCTAAGATTGATCATATCCTAGGACACAAAGTAAATCTCAAGAAATTTAAAACAATAGAAATCATACCATGTACCTTCTCACATCACAGTGGAATAAGAGTAGAAATCAACCCTAACAGAAACTCACATTTCTACACAAAAACATGGAAATTAAACAACCTCCTACTAAATGATTACTTCATAAATGAAGAAATCAAGATGGAAATAAAAAA